TGCAGACACTGAGGTTGAAAAAATCAATAAATCCAGGGCACACTTGAGAAAATGCTTTAAAAAGAGCATTAAAAAAATTAAATAACTGTTTTCTCCTCTTTTGAAATATTTTCTCTCTGTTTTATTATCTTTTAAAATAATTTTGTGCTCCCAATGCTTTCAGGAAGATATTCAAAAGGGTTAAAGCATTCACTCTGACCACCCAAAAGATTTTCTCCCACCGTGTTTTTATTGCGCTGAATCAAAAGAAAAACTTTTTGGTTCAAATAAACTTGAAACAATTCCTTCTCCTCCCCCCTTCCCTCCAGTATTTTGGTTTAGCCAGTGAGTGGAAAAATCAATTATTCGCACTCCTCTAGCCCGATAAAAAGCTTCAGGACTCCACAAAGAGGCTCGAGGGAGCAGTTGTGTTGTACAGCAAATAAAACGGTCTCAGTTTCTCAGCTCTCCTCTTGGGTCACCCAGGATCTGTGCTGAGGCTGGCGCTGCTGGAGGGACACAGAGGAGCCAAAGCACCTCCTGGGGGACTGAAACATCCTCATGGGGGGAATAAAACATCCTCATGGCGGGGCTAAAACAAACTCCTGGAGGAATAAAACCTCCTCCTGGGGGGACTGAAACATCCTCCTGGGGGACTGAAACATCCTCATGTGGGGAATAAAACATCCTCATGTGGGAAATAAAACATCCTCATGGGGGACTGAAACATCCTCATGGTGGGGCTAAAACATCCTTATTGGGGGGCTAAAACACTGAAACATCCTCATGTGGGGAATAAAACATCCTCATGTGGGAAATAAAACATCCTCATGGGGGACTGAAACATCCTCATGGTGGGGCTAAAACATCCTTATTGGGGGGCTAAAACAAACTCCTGGGGGAACTAAAACATCCTCCTGGGGGGGGAATAAAACAAACTCCTGGGGGGACTTCACATCCTCATGGAGGGACATCACATCCAAATTTGGTGGATATCAGACCCTCCTGGTGGTACATCACATCCTCCTGGGGGAACTTCACATCCTCATGGTGGGACATCAGCTCCAACTTTGGTGGGACATCAGATCCTTCTGGGGGGACATCACATCCAATTTTGGTAGGACATCACATCCTCATGGTGGGACATCAGATCCAGCTTTGGTGGGACATCACATCCTCCTTTGGTGGGACATCAGATCCTCCTGATGGGACATCACACCCTCCTTTGGTGGGCCATCATGTCTTCATGGTGGGATATCACACCCTCTTTTGCTGGGACATCACATTCTCCTGGTAGGACATCACACCCTCCCTTGGTGGGGCATCACATTCTCATGGTGGGACATCAGATCCATCTTTGGTGGGACATCACATCCTTCTGGGGGGACATCACATCCAATTTTGGTAGGACATCACACCATCCTTTGGTGGGACATCACACCCTCCTTTGATAGGACATCACATCCTCCTGGTGGGATATCACACTCTCCCTTGGTGGGACATCACACCCTCCTTTGATAGGACATCACATCCTCCTGGTGGGATATCACACTCTCCCTTGGTGGGACATCACACCCTCCTTTGATAGGACATCACATCCTCCTGGTGGGATATCACACTCTCCCTTGGTGGGACATCACACCCTCCTTTGATAGGACATCACATCCTCCTGGTGGGATATCACACTCTCCCTTGGTGGGACATCACACCCTCCTTTGATAGGACATCACATCCTCCTGGTGGGATATCACACTCTCCCTTGGTGGGACATCACACCCTCCTTTGATAGGACATCACATCCTCCTGGTGGGATATCACACTCTCCCTTGGTGGGACATCACACCCTCCTTTGATAGGACATCACATCCTCCTGGTGGGATATCACACTCTCCCTTGGTGGGACATCACACCCTCCTTTGATAGGACATCACATCCTCCTGGTGGGATATCACACTCTCCCTTGGTGGGACATCACACCCTCCTTTGATAGGACATCACATCCTCCTGGTGGGATATCACACTCTCCCTTGGTGGGACATCACACCCTCCTTTGATAGGACATCACATCCTCCTGGTGGGATATCACACTCTCCCTTGGTGGGACATCACACCCTCCTTTGATAGGACATCACATCCTCCTGGTGGGATATCACACTCTCCCTTGGTGGGACATCACACCCTCCTTTGATAGGACATCACATCCTCCTGGTGGGATATCACACTCTCCCTTGGTGGGACATCACACCCTCCTTTGATAGGACATCACATCCTCCTGGTGGGATATCACACTCTCCCTTGGTGGGACATCACACCCTCCTTTGATAGGACATCACATCCTCCTGGTGGGATATCACACTCTCCCTTGGTGGGACATCACACCCTCCTTTGATAGGACATCACATCCTCCTGGTGGGATATCACACTCTCCCTTGGTGGGACATCACACCCTCCTTTGATAGGACATCACATCCTCCTGGTGGGATATCACACTCTCCCTTGGTGGGACATCACACCCTCCTTTGATAGGACATCACATCCTCCTGGTGGGATATCACACTCTCCCTTGGTGGGACATCACACCCTCCTTTGATAGGACATCACATCCTCCTGGTGGGATATCACACTCTCCCTTGGTGGGACATCACACCCTCCTTTGATAGGACATCACATCCTCCTGGTGGGATATCACACTCTCCCTTGGTGGGACATCACACCCTCCTTTGATAGGACATCACATCCTCCTGGTGGGATATCACACTCTCCCTTGGTGGGACATCACACCCTCCTTTGATAGGACATCACATCCTCCTGGTGGGATATCACACTCTCCCTTGGTGGGACATCACACCCTCCTTTGATAGGACATCACATCCTCCTGGTGGGATATCACACTCTCCCTTGGTGGGACATCACACCCTCCTTTGATAGGACATCACATCCTCCTGGTGGGATATCACACTCTCCCTTGGTGGGACATCACACCCTCCTTTGATAGGACATCACATCCTCCTGGTGGGATATCACACTCTCCCTTGGTGGGACATCACACCCTCCTTTGATAGGACATCACATCCTCCTGGTGGGATATCACACTCTCCCTTGGTGGGACATCACACCCTCCTTTGATAGGACATCACATCCTCCTGGTGGGATATCACACTCTCCCTTGGTGGGACATCACACCCTCCTTTGATAGGACATCACATCCTCCTGGTGGGATATCACACTCTCCCTTGGTGGGACATCACACCCTCCTTTGATAGGACATCACATCCTCCTGGTGGGATATCACACTCTCCCTTGGTGGGACATCACACCCTCCTTTGATAGGACATCACATCCTCCTGGTGGGATATCACACTCTCCCTTGGTGGGACATCACACCCTCCTTTGATAGGACATCACATCCTCCTGGTGGGATATCACACTCTCCCTTGGTGGGACATCACACCCTCCTTTGGTGGGACATCACATCCTTTTGGGGGGACATCACATCCAATTTTGGTAGGACATCACATCCTCATGGTGGGACATCAGATCCAGCTTTGGTGGGACATCACACCCTCCTTTGGTGGGACATCACATCCTCATGGTGGGATATCACACTCTCCCTTGGTGGGACATCACTGCTCCTGGTGGGACATCACACCCTCCTTTGATAGGACATCACATCCTCATGGTGGGATATCACACCCTCCCTTGGTGGGGCATCAGATCCAGCTTTGGTGGGACATCACACCCTCCTTTGGTGGGACATCACTGCTCCTGGTGGGACCTGGTGGCTGCCAAGCGTGTCTGCAGCCAGGGGCTGAGCCCGTCCCAGCCCACGGTGACAGACAGCCCAAGGGACAGCAGCCAGTGTCCCCAGCCAGCCCCTGGCTGCAGCTCCCAGAGCCACTCTGCCTGCAGGGACTGAGGGGGAGGACTGGCAGAGATAAATAATGCTGTCATGTTTCAGGATACGGTCTCCAAGCGTGTTTTTGGTTCCAGGGTTTTTGAGGGTGGATTTATGCATAACTGCAGTGCAAGTAGGGTTTTTTAAGCAAACTACACATTAAAAGTAAATCAATATTAATTTCTGGAGCTTTTTATTTCCAGCCTCCAGCTGGCTGCTGTGTTTGCTTCAGCACTGTGAAATCTGGAAGGAAAGCTGTTGAGGAAGGGGAGGCTGCAGAAGAAGGCCTGAGAACCTGTGTCAAAGGAATGTGACACTCAGGGCCATCACTGTGACAGCTGCTCTGGCTCGTGTCCTCCCTGTAAGAGATTTCAAGGAAATGAAGACGAGGAATGCAAAAGGTGAAGACGGGGATCTCTGTGTTTAATCAAACAAACCCGGCCCAGGTGAAACCCGGGTGGCCTCTGCAAGGGTCAGCCCGGATGGAGCCGGAGCCTTTCCCCACCAGGAGCCATCGACTCCTGGGACGGTTTGGGCTGGACAGGACCTTACAGGACTTCAAGGTCCAGTGCCACCCATCCGGTGCCACCTCCTGCCATGGCAGGGCCCCCTTCCACTATCCCGGGCTGCTCCAAGCCCCGTCCAACCTGGGGACACTTCCAGGGATCCAGGGGCAGCCACGGCTTCTCTGGACACCCTGTGCCACCGGGATCCACCAGACCGCCGCTGCTGGGAGGGGTTTGGCCCCGGGACTCCACCAGCCGCCGGTGTCGGTCCCGGTCCCGGTGTCGGTCCGGGTCCCGGTGCCCGTCCCGATGCTGGTCACGGTCCCGGTGCTGATGCTGATGCCGGTGCCGGTCCCGGTCCCGGTGCCGATGCCGGTGCTGATGCCGGTGCCGGAGCCGATGCCGGTCTCGGTGCCGGTCGCGGTGCCGGTGTCAGTGTCGGTCCCGGTGCCGGTGCCGCCCCGTCCCTCGCCGCGGCTCCGCCCCGTCCCCTCCCGTCCCCTCCCGTCCCCTCCCGTCCCGCCGCCGTCCCCGCCCGCCGCGCTCCCGGTGCCGCGGGGCAGCCGCAGCATGGCCGAGCTGCGCATCA